TCATGATCACACACGGTATGTTTTTTACCTGCTTTCTTTTGCTTACAGGTGTTTTTACTAATAATGTTTAATTATCATTTTTGTTCAATAGCATTACTTTAATTTGAGATTAACTTCCCATTTATGTGGTTAACTGGTGACCTGGAACCTTTAGCCAAGACAGATACATTTGGTAAATCCTTAATTTTGAGCCCTGAAAAGTCCTGTGAAATAAAAACTTTTTTTAATGCAATACAACCCATTTGCTCATGCACACTGAGCAAGCACACACACAACACACACAAAAAGTGAAATGAAGAAGGAGGCATGTGGACATAACACAAAATCTGAATCAAGGAATTTTAGCATGCCAAATTTATGCATATAAAATATATTTTCCCAACAATTATATTGTTTCTAGCGAAAAAGGCGAGTGGCTAGTAATGTTGGAAATCTACTAGCCACAGTTGTTGATGATCAAAACAGTTAATGTCAAGTCCTTCTTGCAAGTAAACTTTTTACCACAAGCATTTGATTTATTTATTTTTTTTCACAGTTGGCACTAAGGAACTTTGAAATGTCTGATTAACAGGCAGCAACTAAATGGTTCGGAATAAAGCGTTCAGAGGCTTTGATTTTCTTAAAAAGTATGAATGTGAAGGCGTCATCAGCATCAGAATTTTCTAATTGGCCTGCACTAGATGTCGCAAGACATTGATTGCATTCTGTAACTTGTAAATGCTTATACTGGCAATCTTCTTTTAGCGGACATTTACTTGTAAATAATTCAATTTAAATAGGAGAAAATAAACGAACAAAAAAAGCAACCAACAGTCATAAAAATAATAATTAAACTAAAAAATAAACATGCTTTCCCCCAACCAACCACCCACTGGTGTTATCCAGTGGTAAAAGTAGGTACTAAAGGCATAGTAAACGTACTTATCACAAATTTGTAAAAAGGAAATGAAAGGGGACCCAATTTTTCTAATAACAAAACCTTGTCTGTTAGGGTATACCTGATTTTTTTCTAGATGTAATGTAACCGTTAACTGTTAATGATTCCTTTACTTCAATTTACCAGTGATTTTCCAGTAAAGAATATGTGTGAAAGGGGCTGTTAAAACAAACATTTTTTTCGCTCATTTCGCTTTAATTAGTAATCAGTACCCCCTAACTTCTTGAGCCTTTTTCCAGCCCTTTGGTCCTTCCAAAATGTCATACAGCTTAGTTCTCTAGCTTTACTTGTACATGTACAACATCTTCATCGCCATGTTGGGTTTTGACTCGTGCCACATGCTGCTTCAGACACTAGCAAGAGAAGCATGTGTCTAACCACTAGTAATTGGCATAGTGACCTGCAGCAGGACCTGTGAATGAAACCCATGGAGCGGCACAATAGTTCAGTCCCAGAGGAGCTGCCCCAGAGCGGCCATAATGCTCCCAAACTGCCCAGACAACAGCCAACAGCCGTAATGAACTTATCAGACGTCATATCTGACAGCTGACATCTATATTCACCAGCCATCGCTCTGGACATATAGAATATTCATGTTGATGGTGCTTAACTGGTCAGTGTTAACCTTTACTATATTGTGTGTAATTGTGTTTGAGTGGCATTGCTGTGTTGTGTTCCACACTCCCGGTCGAGTCTAGCCGTCCTGTCAGTAGAGACTTCATTACAGCCGGCTGTGGTGAACACCGTCCATGTCCAGACAAGATTTATCTAATGAGTAGATCACACCAATATGAACACACACACACACACACACACACACACACACACACACACATATGACTAAACAACAAAGAGCTCTGGTGCACAGGAGAAGAGGCCATTACAAGCCACCAAAAATACACACTTCAATCCCATGGAGAAGTGCATTCTGCTTTACCTTTGCAGGGTGTTGTATTTATGGATATTAATTATTTTTGTCAGTAATATATTTTGTTTGAGCCTCGGCTGGGTCAGTTGGCATTTCTATGTGGAGTTTGCATGTTTTCCCTGCGTTCGCGTGGGTTTCCTCCGGGTGCTCCGGTCTCCCCCACAGTCCAAAGACATGTGGTACAGGTGAATTGGATTAGCTAAATTGTCCGTAGTGTATGAGTGTGAATGAGTGTGTGTGTGGATGTTTCCCAGAAATGGGTTGAGGCTGAAAGGGCATCCGCTGTGTAAAAACATGCTGGATAAGTTGCCTTTTATTCCGCTGTGGTGACCCTGGATTAATTAAGGGACTAAGCCGAAAAGAAAATAAATGAATGGATGAATATATTTTGTTCGCTCATATAGGTTATTGTTCCTTCTGGCTGTAAGGATTTTTGAGATATTTCAGAGATATTGGTATTGTTTAAAATAAATTTGTTTTGATTTATAATATGCATTTGATGATTTTTGTTTTAGCAGTCATTGATTTAGTCTTCAGGGTGACATTCTAATATGCTGATTTGGTGCTCAAGAAACATTTTTACTTACTATTAATGTTGAAAATAAGTGTACTGATTGATATTTATGTGTGAAAATTAGCATTTTGTCTGGATTGTTTTACATTTTTGACTAATTTACTGCCATTTGTGGATATTTAATTTATTTACACAACTTTTTTTAAAGTTTCTCTAACCCCATTTTAAACGATGTGTATTATAATGAGACCTCATTTTGATGCATACATGAAATTGAATTAACAAATGTGATTTTACATATTAAATATAAATAGCATCTAATATAATGTTTCAAATAACTTTTGTGAAAATTTTCCAAAAAATAGGTTAATGATATCCCATGGCCTTTTAACCCAATAGATTGCAAAAAATGAAAGATATATTTATTCTGTCCGATTTTTTTAAATAATATCTAATGAGGTACAAGTAGTAGTTTGAAAAGTGAAAAATAAAGATCTTAAATTATGTATTATGGGAATCTTTGACAAGTTTTATTACTATATAAACTGTTATTCAATTACTAGTTACAAACAAAATTAAATCTTTATTAAATTACAATTGCATTTATTACAGATATATTTGAAATAGCGGTTTCAGGGTTTACCGCGGTTTGGAAAAGTCAAGGTTTTAAAAGCGCAAATGATTTCTGTTATAGCGTTCCTCAGGCATATGTATTTTTTATTTAATTTGTTTTTCATGACTGTTTTATTGAGGGTTTTTTTTTTTTTTCCAAATCAAAGGCAAATTTACAAGATGCACTGCATTATGTTACATTTTTCCCTGCCCTGTTTTTAAAATATAAACATTTATTTTATAGTGGAATTTCTGTGCTCGCCTGCTGCTCCTGATGGGTGTGTGCGAGTAAACTGCTTTTCATCTCGTTTAACGCTTGGCTTTACTTTATATCCACAAAAAAGAAAGATATCCAAAGATCCCTTTTCAAGTTTTTATAAAATCTGTTTTTAAAACTAATAAAGATAGTCAGTGATTTATTTAAATTGTTTTAACCTGACATGTTTAAAATAAAAAAGCTAAAATATTTAAAATGTTTCTTAACAAAATATATTGTGTTCAATAGGGGAAAAAAAATTTACCCAGACATTTTTAAAGAACTTGTTTTAGAGCAGTATTCACAATACCGTGAAACTGTAAAACCGTGATAGTTTTATTCAAGGTTATCATACGGTCAGAATCTTATACCGGCCTATGCCTAATATGAAAACTTTTTTCATTTTCACTCTGTAAGCCTAATTGTTTTTGTATTATAATTACTAAAAACCTTTTGTTTTATTTTTATTTTAAACATCTATTATATATATATATATATATATATATATATATATATATATATATATATATATATACGATCTTTGATTTTTAACTCCAACCTACATTAAAAAAAATGGTTCATTGGATTTACTACATTTTGAAGGTAAGTGATTGCAAACAATTGATTTGGGATGAATTTAAAGCAAACAATTAAAGTTTTACGTCACTAAATCTAATTTTTTTTTTTAATTTCAGCCCAAATAAACTGTTTGCAACCACTTATCTTAATTGTAGTAAATCCAATGAACCATTTGTTTCAGTTACTGCACTAAAAAAAAATTTTCGTTTTTTTTTTTTTTTGTTCAAACGACTTATTTAAAATGAGCTGAATCAACCCGTCTTGAGTTTTTTGGGGAGGGGAAAACTTAATAGATTTTCTTCAATCCACTTAAATTTGTGAAGATAATGAAGTTAACATAATCGATTTATGTTGGGACAACATAAAGGAATTGTGTGGAACCCAGCAATTTTACAGTGTGCTACTGAGACCTACATCATTTAACACATTTCTGTCAATTTCAAAAAACTGTGTAAATACAGTGATATGGTATATGGAATCCCCACACCATCATGTAAGTGTGCATACATGCTTCATATGGGCTGTAGGGGTCCCTGTAGAGTGCTCAGGGACCAAAAGAACAATAACTGCTATCTCATAGCCTCTCGAAGCCCCGGGGGTACAGTGTGTCGTGTGTCACCGTGTGTGTGTGTGTGTGTGTATTGGATCCTTAAGCAGCCCCACGGGGCCACAGCGCCGCTTCATTCTCCAGAGTTATTGATTAGATAAACAGTCACTAGTTTTACATCAGGCCCCCGCTGCTGTCTACGAGTCTTTTATTGACGACGGTGGGAAATTTGTTCAGCCAGTCTCAAGCCGGCCACACACTGTCTGCGTCTGCTTTTTGCAGGTTTAAGATTTCAGATCTGCACTTCATGATGCTGAGAGCCATTTAATTTCAGATATATACAGAAAATGAGTTTAATACAAAAAGGTTCTGTTAGTTAATGAATTTACTAGCATGAGCAGATCTTGTATTTATTCACCTTTGGTAATGTTAGTCAATGAAAATAAAGTTGTTCTTGTTAACTCAGAGCAGTAATGTTAACAAGCACAAGTTGAGATTTTAATAATGCATTAGTAAATGTTGAACTATGATTAATAAATGCTGTACAAGTATTGTTCATGTTACTAAATACGTGAGTTAATGGGACTTTGTTGTAAAGTGTGATCTGTTTGTTTAAATGTTTTTCAGCCCTCCCAAGAAACTCACAGCAAAGCAGCGGGTGTCAAACCTCATGCGTTCAGAGTATGACAGTGGCATGGATGGACAATCTAAGGCTAAGAAGAAAAGGAAAAATAAGAAGGGTCAAGCAGAGGAATCTACCGATGCATAAAGTGGCCAATACAGGAGAGATCAGAGATGCTCTTTTCGTTTGGGAAGTGCTGAGGTTAGAGTTGTCGTGACCAGGTGGATTCTCAGGGTTGAACACACAGGTGTTTTTCCACAGAGTAACATTTTTTTAGATGTGAAAAAGCACAACCGGTCAGCAGAACAATCTGGGAATTTGCTCAATGCAAAAGCTTAGTTGCAGATGGGAAAATGAGCATGCATGGATTTCTTGCAGTGGGTTTATGAATTTATTTTTATAAATATTCTGCCTTATTTAAGCAATATTTTATTAAAAAAATGCTGAATTTGACTTTTTTAGGATGATTGTATTTAATATCTGTCTAATTAAATCTGACAAAGCACTGCATCCAAACGTGTTTCACAATCAGCAGCGACCAAACATCACATGGCTTTCATACAGGAGCTTCTGAGAACTCTGTTAAACTGTTTGCTGAAAGCGTTTAGCTCGTTTCTTTGGCTTGAATGTCGGTTTGGTCAGGTGAATGGGGCTGGATGTGTATGGAGGCTTACGCTGACCAGCTGTCCCAGCGTTCAGTCGGACTCGCCCGGTCACCAGCTGCTGTCTTTTTGGCCGAGTCTTCGCTGCGAGCGCTTGGAGAAATTTGACCGGAATATTACGTTTCAGTCTCTTTATTAACTTAAAAGCTGCTTGTGAAATTTGATTGGTCTGTGATAATGAAACGCTTATTAGGATTGGTCAATTAAACCCACACAACAAACCACTTACACAGATACGCTCATGAGGTGGAGTGAACTGACTCTGTGAACAGAGCTCACTAAAGCTTCCCATTGGCAGTCATTCGTGTGCTTGTGTCAATTAAAACGTTAAATATTAGTGCTAATTTAACAGAAAGCCAGGATCAATTAGAAATAAAATTAAAAATACCGCAAAGACAGTTTTCGTTGTTTTTTTTTTTTTTTTTTTTTTTTGCGTAGCTACGTTCATGGGCTGTTGAGTTTAATAATTTTTTTATTCGTTTGTATAAGCATTTTTTCTCATTTTATAGACCGTTTATGCATCATATTTTACATGTAGTATACAAAAAAATTACCAAAATGATATTGAAGAATAAATTATTTGGATGTCACGATAGTCTTTATTTAGAAAAGTATTTTGGCGTCTGTTTAACCGGGCTGTAAATAACCCATAATAACCACAACACAATATTTCCACAATACGCTTTAAATCGTTGAACAGGTTGCAGTGATTATGTTTTCGCTGCAACGTGTTATTTCATTATAGGACAACTCCTGGATTTGCGTAAAACAGGTTTTCAGCTGTACGGTCTTCATCACAATAAATTGGTCACAAATTAGCCTACATTTGCTACAATTATGGTTATTATCTGTAGCCTGTTGTTGTTAATATATTTATTTACCTTTTAGTTAGTAAATGAATTTTTCGTTTGGTAGAAAAAAAACTACAATAGTTTCATTATTGCATATCTGACATTGTCTTCTGTTGATGTTTTATTTTGGTTTGCTTGCGTCATAATATTGTGCAAATAAACCACGCCATTCAATCTAGGGAAAAGCAACGTCTCAGAAAACAAGTCACAAGGTTCATGAGGTGATGGAACCCTTATCCGACTGTTTTCTGATCACTTCCTCCACACGTTGATTTTTAATAAATAGTTATAGCATTCGCCTTTTGGTCAGAGTCATTTGGAAAGTCTATTATTGCGCGTTTAGATTTTACAAGGGTATCGTCCAAGCGCAACCCTGTGATTCCTGAGGTTGGAGCGGCTGCCGGGTCGGGTCAGATCAGCTCATCGCGGCGGGTGTCGCGGGATCACCCCGGACAGAGACGCTGGATCTCCGCCGCCCTGAAGCCCGTGCAGGAGGATTCTGGGGACCAGAGGTCGCTGAACAGGGGGTGGAGGCGCGGACGGCCCTCTGTAGAGATACAAGCCTGGTCCCGGATCAAGGTTAGACACCAAACTTTGGGGATAAAAATAGGGTGAAGGGAACATTCTCTGTAGAGCGGAGTAATTCCCAGCTTCCGCGAGCAGCTCCAGTCCCACCGCGGTCTGCCGTTTCCACTTAGTTCTGTTTCAAACAAACAACATAGCGTCACTCATTTACTCATTTTTTAAAATCTAAATAGTCTTATTAAATGGCAGAAACCCGTTGGGGAAATGTTCTGCTCATGGCAGTTATAATAACAATAAAAATAATAATTATTGTTAGTTATAAATATGTAGTGTTTGCAAAACTTGTTCAGATCAAAGTGTGGCGCAACTGACATACAGGAAGCCATTTTGTTGTCATGTGACAGCGCTAATAAACAAAGACGACCCCCTTTATGTATGTTCCAATGTTTTTTTTCACATTAAGCTCTTTTTTTTTTTTTTTTTTTTTGCTCCAAAAGATTGTTTAAATCAACTTAAGTAACCGAAAGAAACACTCATGATGTTAAATGTTGGCTACAATTGATAATTAAAAAAAAACATTGGCTGATTTTCGTTGTGACTTTAAAGTGTTTTTTTTTTCCCTGAGCAAATTGGCGCGTCGTGGAAAGTTTGTTTTGAGGATGAATCCGTGTAATATCCTGCTGAACACTCATCCGTCAAATTGTCACTCAGCAAAAAGCCTTTTCGGATAAATAATTCATAATTGTGGCAATTGTTTAATTACTACTTGGAAGCTAAATTATTCATAAACGATGCAGTAATTTATTATTTATGACTAAATGTGTTGGACTCGTGGAGTGTGAGGTTGTAGCTACTGTAACTTTTTCCCCGTTGTGGTTTAATTTTTGACGGGAACAGAAACAACAAACAAACTGCTTCAAGCTATTTATTTGCATAATTTTGATATTGGAAATGATTCTTGCTTGTGTGGAAGCTAACTATTTAACACGCGTTTTAAAATGGTTCAGCACACTGCTAGTCAGCTCCTTCAGTACTTTAGTTTCTTTGTGTGTAGCCCATATGAAGATGTGTGTATTCACCTGCGGTTCTGGTACCATGTTTTGACCTGTGTGTCAGTGAGGTTGAGGGATGCTGCCAGCTCCATCCTGTCCTGCACACTCAGGTACTTCTGACGCTCGAAGCTGCGCTCGAGCTGCGCCAGCTGGTGATCCGTGAACGCGGTGCGGGCTTTACGGGGCTTCTTCAGCCGGGAGTTGGGGCTGTCTCTACTGCTGGAGATTTCCCGATCAGCTTCGTCTTTCACTGAAAACACCATGTACATAAACAATATAAACATTGGCTATTGATTTATAGGCCTATATGTGTATAATTATTTCGGACAGATGTGATTCCCTGTTTATTTTAGATCACATATTTTAAAAAGAAAGATCCCTGTGTGGGGTTTGGGTTCCTCAAATGTTCTTACTGAGAACAGTTGTTAAACTATGATTTTATATGGTGTAAATAATGTTTTTTTTTCTTTTTAGTAAACGGCCATTTTCTGCTCAAGAATCTTTTTTTTCAATTGAAAAAGCAATTCAAGCAATTGAAAGCTTCCTTTGGCCATATAAGGTTCTTCATGTTGGTATTAATGGTTTAACAGTATTCAGTTAGGCGATTTCGTGATCCATTATGTTTGATGCTTTCAGCAGCATTAAAAAATTATTTTTCTAAGTTTTCGTTAGTGTGTTGTGTTAAAAATCAAACAAAGTTGAGCTGCAAGAGTGCTGCACATTTGATTACACATTGGATTAACGGATTCAGAGTTAAAATATTTAATGAAACACCTTTATTGCCAATCAGTTGCGAGGACACCGACCCACTCAATTAATTATACATGCTTCAGGAAATTTTATTTGGTTTTGGATCCACTACAAATTTAGACTAAAATGACCTCCAAACGGAGATATTTTTAATTCAAATACCTAATGTTAAAATGCAAATAATCTGGGATATATTAACTGCGTTACGAAGAGAAACGAAAACAGGTATAATACTAAAATTTTTCTTTTAATTCCTTTACTTTAGGCATGTCAGAAATGCTGCCACTTTTCCGCACTGGTTTTGTAAATCATTTGGAAAACCCGTTTTAATGCCGAGATCTTTTTTGCATCAAAATATTAGCAGTCAAAATAATTTGCATTTAGGCCTATATGTACTTCGACTAAGTTTTAACTAATTTCTTAGGAATGTAAAAAATGCTTAAGGGCATGTCCAGCTATAGGTTACATCGGTTTTCGTTCATAATGTTTTAAGTGAATCGTTGAACAATTCAAACATTGAATAATGCGAAAATAAAATAAAACATATGTAAAAAAAAAAATAAATAAAAAAATAATAATTATTTAATTTTAGTTTATATATCGAAATCGTTTTTTAGTTTTGTTGTTTCTTTCCAGTGTAAAATTGTAGTTTATCTCACCCCTGTATTCGCTGTCCGAGGAAGAATTGCTGTGAAGTTTGTCCATGCAGTCTTCAGCATCCTGTGCTGACTGTCCAGTGCTAGAATAAGGAGCGCAGGCTGCCAGAGGTTTGCAGTCCGCTAGAATGTCTCTGATCAGGAATGAGGACGTGACTGTTCTCGGCTGCTGGGATATTTGTAAAGGAGAGTCCAGTCCGAGGGCTCGAGCGCGTCTCTGCACAGCGTCCTCCACTGAGCTCCGTCTCGGGGAAGGGGGCGACGAGCAGCCGCTGTCCAGGTCCGAGCGCGGGCTCAGCTCCGCCGGAGACCTGCACTCCCCCTTAGACATGCACGGGCTGCTGGCTCTGTGAGAAAGTATAGACTCGATCCCAAAGCTCGAGCCGTTTGATACCTCCATCGCGAGTCAAATCAATATCAAATGTGCATTTGTCCTTTATGACACTGGTTTTGGGAATGCAGCTGGAAGAAACTGCCGAATTAAAACGTTAAACTTCTGATCATTTTAGATGAAAAAAAAAAAAAACAGTTTAATCCTTTCCCAGAAAACAAGTCACGAGTCCTTTATTTCTGATTGATTTAGCTGCTTTGTTGAATGTGTTCTCGTAGAGTTCCTCAAAAGCGAAACGTGAACGCGCGGGTCAGTTTCAGCACCAAGGACAGGTACATCTATCTGCTCACCCTCACGGTCAGCTCTCAGCGGAGAACTAGTCGTTAACTTGAAAACTTATCTGGCTTTCTAGAGACTCGACTGCAACCCGTACCAAGCCCCAAATCCTCTGACCTAAGCCGATGCTGATGTGTAAAGTTCTAGTCCAGGTCTGCGAGGACTAAACCCGTGTAACGGAGTATAAACACAGGCAGTGATCTCCGCGACCTGAAAATGACACCCTCAAGGAAACAGCCAATACCGGAGGAGGAACGCGCTTTTAAAGGTGTCCATTCTGCGTTTGTCCCGAGCGCCACGTCGTTATTGGTTAAAGGGTGTTTTTGGGGGGTGATGATCACGTATATGTTGCGGGCGGGAGGGGGAGAAACATAGTCAACCCTCCCTCTTTTCTCCTAAATAAATTGCAGACACGTAACGCTTGACATGCGGATACAGTAGCTGTTGTGTTTTACCTTTACACTTCATTTCACTTTCTTTCTTTCTTTCTTTCTTTCTTTCTTTCTTTCTTTCTTTCTTTCATTTTTTTTTCTTTCTTTCTTTCTTTCTTTCTTTCTTTCAGCCTAATGGCATTTAAGCTATACCCTTTTTACTTGTATAGACCAGAGACCCTCATCCAGAGCAAATTTTTAACACTGTAATTAAGAGGATAATGTCAATAAAATGTTACACTGTTTACCAGGCATTCATTCTATATATATTTGAAGTCAGAATTATTAGCCCCCCCTTGAATTTTTCCCAAATGATGTTTAACAGAGCAAGAAAATTTTCGCAGTATGTCTAATAATATTTTTTTTTCTTCTGGAGAAAGTCTTATTTGTTTTCTTTCAGCTAGAATAAAAGCAGTTTCTAAATATTTAAAAAACATTTTAGGGTCAAAATTATTAGCCCCTTTAAGCTAATTTTTGTTTTCAATAGTCTACAGAACAAACCATTGTTATACAATAACGTGCCCAATTACCCTAACCTGCCTATTAACCTAATTAACCTAAAAATTTCTAGTCAAATATTATTTGCTGTCATCATGGCAAAAATAAAATAAATCAGTTATTAGAAATGAGTTATTAAAACTATTATGTTTAGAAATGTGTTTTAAAAAAAATCTGCTCTCCGTTAAACAGAAATTGGAGAAAAAATAAATGGGGGGGATAATAATTCTGACTTCAACTGTATATATTTATCTGGAAGGGCATCTGCTGCGTAAAACATGCTGGAAAGGTTGGCAGTTCATTCCACTGTGGCGACCCCTGATTAATAAAAGGAACTAAGCTGAAAATAAGTAAATGAATAAAAAAAATAATTGCAGGGCCCTATGATAACTTTAGTCCTAAAAACGAAATTAGATATGTGATTTGTCAATCTAAATGAATAAATAAAAAAAAGATTAGAATAATGAATAATAATTAATATCACCTAATGCCTATGATGATTGAACTGCAAAAGATTATTGAAAGATTAAGTATGTTTTCTATGTGAATGAATGAAGATTTGTTGTTGGTGGTGGTGCTTTTTAATCTTACTGTATGAGAAGACAATAAATCTCATCTCCAGAGCTGTTCTGGGTCATGTCATGAACATGCTGATGCTTTACATAAAGAAAAAAATAAATATGAAAGCAAAATCACAGAGTTTTATCAACCTGAAAAAATCTACAAGCTTGGTTTTAGTTGAAGAAATTGTGACAGAAATATTTAATGTACAGTAAAATGCATTTCACAAAGTTAATATTAAGACAGTGCTCAGGATAATAGAGTACACCCCATTTTGAAAATGAATATTTTTCTGCATTTCTCAGTGAATATAGGTAATGTATTTTAGCGCATTTTAACAAAACAGATTTATTAAACGGATACATTTATTAAAATCATAGTTTAGTCACCAAACATATTTAGAAATTTAAAGATAATACAATTAAATTTGAGTTAAATATTGCAAAAAAAAAAAAACAACCTACAATTTTTTTTTTTTTTTTTTTTTTTTGCTTCTCTTGATTTTTTCTCGTTTTCTATAACATATATATTTGAGTGTACTAGTTTTTGGACCATTTTCATAAGTTATTTTGTTAGTAAAGCTCCAGATTTGGCTTCAGTACTGACTAATCTAATGTATATGCACAAATATAATATTGTATAGCCTCCTATTAAAAATATGAATGTAAAAGAGAGATTTGTGAGGGGTGTACTTATATATATGCTATAATCAATATAATCATGCAGTCACTTATCCCAGTTTTATTTTTAACATCAATAAAACTGAATAAAATAGAACAATAAATCTCAAAAGGAGATGATTCATATGATTGCTTAAATTAATAACAATTTATTAACTATATAATAAGCTGTTATTAAATTGATACCATTCATGCTTTCAATGATTGAATCATCCTTTCCGATTGGTTGTAAAGCGGTTAACATCATTTATTGTGACATTAAAAGATGAACAGTCGAGGAAGAGGCCTGATACACATGTAATAATTACAGCTCTGTTAATCCACCGTGTAAGTGCCTTGACCCAGAATCCCTCTCCTGCTAACAGACTCAGAGCAGTGGGCGTTCATGGCTTTTTTCCGGGCTTCAGGATCTCGAAAGGTGTCCAGAGCCGCTCCCACCTGCAGAATACGAAAACATAGAGTCCGATAAATCTTACTCTGATATCTAGGATGTAGAAAGATAGCATACAAAAGACCACAGTCTCATATGATCTGCTAAAACGCTGTATAAATGCAGACGAAGGCCAATTGTAACTCAACTCTGAACACTAAAAAAAGGTATGAATGACAGAGAAAAGTAACATGGATGGCACTGTTGGAAGACGGTAGACATTCTGTTTTGATACACGAAAGTGCAGTCAGAATAGCTGAACATTAAAAAAAAAGGGAGCTTTGTAAAAATGCAGCATGCTTTGCCCCTTTCTGTAGCATTTAAACTGGTAGTTTAAGATGTATACTGACAGCTATTAAATAATAGAGCTCGCACAGCACATTTAATTTAAACAATGGCTCAAAACAGCAGATTCGTCCCAAAATTCAGCGTTTTCTATCTTCCAAAGGTTAGTTTATAGCATGTTTCCCAACACTCGGAAACTTTAGTCGTGTCACATCATGTTTTAAATATATTTCCTTGTTTTTCCTTTTCCTCCTCTAAAAAAAAAACAATCTGTTGCCTCCCACAAACACTTTTGACACCTCCAAACCTTTTTGAATTAAATAGGAGGAACACACGTCCTCGGGAAGGGTGGAATGAAAGAGATGTAAGGGAAGGTGACAATACAAACAAACAAACAACAGGAATGAAGAAAATGAGTGTAGAATGAAGAAGAGAGTCAAGGATGCAAATGTCGAAGCTGGTGCTATCAGGACAGCTACTTGACAGGCTGTAATGAGCGGAGGTAAATCTTTTATAAGGTTAACGCTCCTCTCTCTCTCCATCAGCTGTCATACAAGAGAGAATTTAGCGCAGGCGTGCAACCAAAATAACACTCTCCCTCCCTCATTAGAGCCGACTGAGGGTGGACGACAGGACAGGCAGCCACAGGGTGCGTGTGTGTGTGTGTGCGAGGGTGGGGAGGGGGTTGTAATTTGCAGAGGAAATCCAGACAGGGAGGAAAAAGAGGATGGAGGGGGAGTGCGTGGAAAGAGTTAAAGGGAAAACATAGCATTGTGGGATATAAAAGTGAGAGTCCAACATAATGTGCATGTTTCGTGATTGAGCAGTGTAAATATATTTAAAAAAAGACCAAAATAATGCTGTTCTGTGTGTGGGTGTGTGCTCGTTTTGCGTTACTGTATTTGTGTTAGAAGAAAAAAGTGAAAATAAATAGTCACTGCATCATAAAATGTACGTTTTTAAACTGTTGATTTACTTTATTATTTGTTTGTTAGAAGTGACTTCTTAAAGCTATTAAGTGTTAAAGGTTTTGTTCTAATTTGTTGCTTTACACTTTTTATTTAAAGAGATAGTTCATCCAAAACTGAAAATTCAGTTCAAAATTCAACACAAAATCTGTTGTTTTTCCTACTGTTTAGGTCAATGGTTAATTCAAAATATCTTCCTTTGTGTTCAGGAGAAAAGAGAAACTCGAACAGGATTGGATTCATTTAAGGGTGAGTAAATTACAATTTTTGAGTGAACTATCCCTTATAGTATTAAATAGTTTCCTGTTGTAGTTGTCCCACCAGTTATTAGTTTCCATTATGAAACTAACACACACCAGTTTCTGTTCTGTTCATTACCCCTTCAGTGCGTCCCTCATAGGCTGTATCAGAAATCACCCCTTTACTAAATAGTACACTGTTTGAGTAAGCAGCTCTTTGTAGTATTGTCTGAAACAATAGTGGACATTCTGAAATGCACTCAATCAATCCCACAATGCACTGCAATAATGAGTTTACAGCTGATGTACACTCCATGGCTGGAGAATAACCCTAATGAATCAAAATACTTTATTTTATTACTAATATACAGCTCAATAAGTTTTACATAACTATCACACACTCTCAGAAATAAAGGTACGCGAGCTGTCACTGGGGCAGTACCTTTTTAAAAGATACATATTTGTACCCAAATAGTCCACAGTGGTACCTACAGTAAAAGGAGCATATTAGTACCCAAATGTACCTAAAAGTACCTTTAAGGTACCATTATGGTATTTGCAAAGGAACTGCTCCAGTGACAGCACTCGTATCTTTATTTCTGAGAGTGCAGGGTCTGACCGAGAAGATGTAAATCTGATTTATCTGAGAGATTTATCAACCAAAGCACAAACAATCACTTGTTTTCATTCATTGAAGTGGACCAATGTAGGAAATTATGAATAAGGGTTTGGGGTATACAGCCATAATCTGTCTGAAATTCACGGTGGCAGAGAGAGCTTAACATGCTGCAATTCAACAAAACACGTGCAGTTACAAAAAAATGCCAGCATACTGAGAAAGGATCTTCATCTGTTTGACAGCAAAACACATTATTAAATAAAATGCACTGCATTTCCCACAACGCAAACAAATTAATAAAACGCGCTGTATATTCTCACAACACAAATAGAACGGAACACAATGGAAATGTTTCAAGGGGACCCAAAAACGTGACGGATGCTGCTGTGTCGTGACTCTTGTTCAGTGAAGTTTGGTGATCTTTGAAAGGTGAGGGTTTTTTTTGTTTGTTTATTTTAACATCCTGATTTCCTTGTCTTTTGTAATTTTATTAGTCTAAATAACCATAACCTAAATTGCTGAGTCCATCATGTTTTTGGGTCTCCTTGAAATACTTCTGTTTTGTTATAAAAAATTTCGTAAAATGTTTGCGTTGTGTGAAAATGCAGCAAGTTTTTTAAAAATGTGTTTGCGTTGTGAGGATTTGCAGCATGTGTGCTGTCAAACTGATGAAGATCTTTTCTTAATTTGCTGGTGTTTTTGTAATTGCATTTGTTTTCTTAATTTGCTGCACGTTAAGCCCTCTCGGCCACTAAATACCCTATTAAATAGTACGTGGAAAAACACTGCTTGAACTTAAATTTGACCCAGCTGAATTTGGAGCCATTTGGTGATTTTAACAACGAATGTAAGTAGTTCAGTTCTCTTGATTTGTCTGGTTTAAATTAAAAAAGTAATACATTTGGTTTTGAGATGCTAAGTGTTCATAATTCGCTGTTAAGATGACCTAAAAAGAAAGAATGGCTTTAATGACGTATATTTTGTGACCAAATAAAATTGGCAGAATATAATGCTTGGGGTGCAAGTATTTTTAGAAATTAGGAAATTGTGAAGAGCTAGAAAAATGTGTATAAAAAAGTCACAACAGAACCAAGAAACAAACAGAAATCTTTTGTGAGGAGATGTGTTTTCAACTTAAGTAGTTTTCATTTTTAAAAAGCGTGTTTAAGTGTGAACATGATCTTGCCCCGAAGGTAGTCTGTAAGTTGATACATAAATTTAGCAGAGCTAGGGCAAAGACTAAAATGGCAGTAAGTGGGAATTTCTGCAGGTGCAGAAGCACTGTGGGTCAGTCATCCTTTTCAGTGAAAGGTTCAAATCTACGGATTGCCATGTCTGTTGATTTAAAGTTACAATAAGAACTCCCAGTTTTTATCTTTAAAGCTGAAGCAATGGTTGAAATGTTTACAGCAAGGTGAGCATTAAGCACAGTTGAAGTCAGAATTATTTATCCCTTTGACATTTTTTTTTTTATATTTTCCTAGTGATGTTTAACAGAGCAAAAAAAGTTTCACAGTGTCTGATAATATTTTTTCTTCTAGAGAAAGTCATTTGTTTTATTTCGGCTAGAATAAAAGCAGTTTTTTTGAAAAACATTTTAAGGTCAAAATTATTAACCCCTTTAACCTATATTATTTTCGATAGTCTACAGAACAAACCATCGTTATACAAAAACTTGCCTAATTACCCTAACCTGCCTAATTAACCTAGTTAAGCCTTTAAATGTCACTTTAAGCTGTATAGAAGTGTCTTGAAAAATATCTAGTCAAATATTATTTACTGTCATCATAGCAAAGATAAAATAAATCGGTTATTTGAAATGAGTGATTACATTTACATTTACATTTACATTTAGTCATTTAGCAGACGCTTTTATCCAAAGCGACTTACAAATGAGGACAAGGAAGCAATTTACACAACTAAGAGCAACAATGAATAAGTACTAAAGGCAAGTTTCAGGTCTGTAAAGTCTAAGAAGGGAAGTATTAGTAGTTTTTTTTTTTTTTTTTTTTTTTTGTACAGTTAGTGTGATATTCAAAGAGGCAATTGCAGATTAGGAAGTGAAGTGGAGACTAAATAGTTGAGTTTTTAGTCGTTTCTTGAAAATAGCGAGTGACTCTGCTGTTCTGATGCAGTTAGGGAGTTCATTCCACCAACTGGGCAGATTGAGCGTGAGCGTTCGCGAAAGTGATTTTTTCCCTCTTTGGGATGGAACCACGAGGCGACGTTCATTCACAGAACGCAAGTTTCTGGAGGGCACATAGATCTGCAGAAGTGAGTGCAGATAAGAAGGTGCTAGGCCAGAAGTCACTTTGTAGGCAAACATCAGAGTTTTGAATTTGATGTGAGCAGCAACTGGCAGCCAGTGCAAAAGGACTAGCAGCGGAGTGACATGTGCTCGTTTAGGTTCATTGAAGACAACCTAAACTATTAGATTTAGAAATGTGTTGAATAAATCTCTCCATTAAACATAAATTGGAGTAAAAAGTGGCAGGGGGGCTATTAATTCTGACTTCAACTGTCGATGAACATTAAGTATTATTCATTCAGGTTGGTCAGATTTTTCTTTAGTATGCAGATTGACTTACATTTTATGTTTGTGACGCTGTATGTACTTTACATGTGTGTTGTATTATTTTTATTTGTTGATTTTTTTATTTATGTAAGCCTAACCAGGGACGAGGGATGCAAATTCGCTTCATGCTATATGCCCTGTACTGTACGTAGCATCAGTCTTTGTATAATAATGTCAAGTGCATTGTCCCAGTTAAATAAACAAACATAAAAAAAACTATGTTAAACTATGCTGTGCTACACTGTAGTAAGACACAAGAAAACAGGATTGCTGGAGATACGTAATTATCATGTTCTGTTTTTAGCTAGTTTAACTGTCTTTGGTCCATGTTGCATTCATATTTCATATTTTCATATTTTTCAACTTTCCAGTGATCTTGATCTACAGTTTAAGTCAGAATTATTAGCCCCCCTGTTTATTTTTTTCCCCAATTTTTGTAACATGGAGAGCAGATTTTTCCAGCACATTTCTATTCATAATAGTTAAATAACTCATCTCTAATAACGGATTTATTTTATCTTTGTCATGATGACTGAAAATAATATTTTGAGGAGATATTTTTCATATAATTCGGCAGGTTAGGTCAGTTAGGCAAGTTATTGTATAACGATGTTTTTTTCTGTAGATTATCGAGAAAAATATATAGCTTAAAGGGGCTAATAATATTGACCTTAAAATGGTGTTTAAGAAATTAAAAACTGCTTTTAGTCTAGCCGAAATGAAACAAATAAGACTTTCTCAAGAAAAAAAAATATTATCAGACATACTGTGAAAATTATAATACTGCTCTGTTAAACATCATATGGGAAATATTTAAAAAAGAAAAACAATTCAAAGAGGGGCTAATAATTCTGACTTCAACTGTATATACTTGATTCACACCATGATTTATTCATATCACACTAGAGTTTGCTTTAATCAACGTAAATCTTCCAACTGTGAACGGACACATTAAAAAGAACTAATTTATGGAAGATATTTTTAATGAGTCATACACTAATTATAATGGCTTCTTCCTATGACTGTTATTGTGTTTAACTAACACAAGCACACACTCAAGTGATGTGAAATCTAGGGCCAGACAGAATCAGCGGACATTATTTGCTATTTCTGCTGAGAATTTTGGTAAAAATCTGGAGAATTATTTTGGGAGTTTCATAACTAAAACCTTAATATATGAAATAAAAAATAAAATCTTTTAAACTTTTATTTAACGTTTAAAATGCAAATCCCATTAGATTCACTTGATTTGGTAAATAAAGGAAGTTTGTCATATAATATATCTAGTAAAACTGCATTGTACATAAATCAGATGAACATTTTCACATTAGTCAATAATATGACTGAAATTAATTTTAAAAAATTGAATAAATATAGGTTTACACACATTTACTCAAGTAAATAAACAGAATTATTGATGGGCTAAAAATCTGCGCGCGCAGATTCCGGGTGAGCCTTATGATATCTAATGCAACCACATACTGTCAAAAACACAAATCATTCATGACTGGTTTTAACTCCTAATGTGGCTAGTTAACACACTCAATGCGTTTTTTCAACACATCCCATAATTTCTAAAATATCAGCCTCTACCAAATGGTTGATATGTTGGTTTATGGTAAAAAAAAATACTGGACTTAATCCATATACTATGAACAATTGAAAATATGAAGTGAAAGACTTCATAAGGCTTATTTTTTGCATTATGGTGATTTTTAGTAGTGGTCTACCCTGTGTAAATCAACACTGTGGCTAGTGCATTTGTTTTGGGGTGATCCGTCAGTGTTTGTGAAGGTGTGTTGGATGTGGAAGGGCCATCATTAGCTCAGCGAGAGTCTTGATTCCTTCATAATTGGAAGCATTGGGGATTGTCAATAGAGGATTTCCATGCTCCGCTGTCAGGTAGAGCTGTCAGGCTGCTAGTCTGCTTGTCAACGCAAAAGACCAATAAAAACAAAAGCACTTTTGATTTACCTGGTGCTTTGCGTTAAGGCTAGTAGAGGGACCAAAAACTAAAGGGGCTAGTGTGTGTGTGTGTGTGTGTGTGTGTGTGTGTGTGTGTGTGTGTGTGTGTGTGTGTGTGTGTGTGTGTCTGTCTGTCTGTGAACAATCGTAAGAGCTTGAGGCAGATATTGTTGCTTTCAGCATACATTTTTCACACTGTCACAACACACACACACTCTCTCTCTGTCTTTGTCACACTGATCTACTGTAAAGACACAGTACTGTAGCCTTATTCTTCCAGTGTGATTATTCTAAACTACTAAATGAATATAAATCTTAACAAATAATGCATGGAATTATAATATATTGTTCTACATATGGCTGAATTGTGTACCGTGTAGTTTACTAATTAATTGAATGGAGAATACAGAAGTGAAAGTCTTGGTGGTTTTCACCTTCTGGAATCGAGGCAGTTTCCACGTGGACGGAGCCTCAGGCAAGGGCTGACTCTTTCGGAGCAGGGTTGTTCTTGTGTCCTGTATACGACCGAGCTGAGCCTGTGAAGGCGAGAGTCAGATGCAGTAGATGCTTATGGCTTTATTGCATTAGGCAGTAAAGGTTAATACAGGGAGTCGTACTGTGATCTCGTCTACAGACCTTCTTATGCTGATGGGCCTGGAGGACTCTGTCTCTGACCTGCTGCTCTTCCAGCCATCTTTGAGCATACTTGTACTCGATGAGCTCTGAGATTGGAGTGGATGGCCTGAAACGGAACAAAGCAGTTTCTGTTAGGCTCTGCGCAACTTGGAGGAAGTGATTTTTACTCTGTTAATGTTAAAAAATCACCCTTACAGAAAAATTGGAACACATTTAAAACACGTGTAAAACTTTTTAAAGATTTTTTTACAGGATGCTCATGTGATCATGTTAACAAACATCCATGTGTTGAACCACATCTTTCGACAATTAACTTGCTTCTTATGCCTCATTAGCTATGCTTTCATCCAAAAATGAGCACTAACTTTATGCGCAAAACTGGATTTTTCTAAGATTATACTTAGGTTTTATTTTAATTGGGTTCCAATAAACCCAGATAGCAAAGAAAAAAAATGCATGTAAAAAACAGCTTGGGCCTTAAGAGGAAATGTAATAAATAATATAAATAATTATTGTGGTTAATCAGCTATACTAATAGAGAAGACTCCAGATCTGTTTTTACATTACTGTGGTGGTTGGGTTTAGGGTTGGGGTAGGCGTTAATAAAATACAAATAATCGGAAATTTTGTAAATAACATAAGAACTTCTCATAAACTTCTGGCCGCAACCATATCTGATCTAGCAAAAACCCATTTCAGCAGCAAGCAATCGGAATACATAAGTCCACCGCTTCAGAGAATTCCAGAGAACACAGTCCTGTAACTTTGGTTCTGCCTACAGTTGTTCCCATGGGTTTGATTATTGTGATCGCCAGATTTCCAAATATTTATGATGTTTTTTTTTACATGGACAACATTTAAAACGCCACTGATGAGTTAATGATGTGCATTATATATATATATATATATATATATATATATATATATATATATATATATATATATATATATATATATATATATATATATATATATATATATATTTTTTTTTTTTTTTTTTTTTTTTTTTTTTTTTTTTTTTTACACCATATTGGCCATAGTTAATGCACACACTACACTTGGAACAGAAAACATTGTGAAACAAGGCCATTTTTGACAGTTTTTTTGCCACACTAAAATGTTCTTAGAGCTTCATATGATTGCAGCTGAACCACTGAAGCAAGATGGAATGTATTGACAATGTCTCTCAGTTGTAAGAGCAAATAACATGACTTGATCATTTAAAAAAGTGTAAGAAGGTAGATTTTTCTGATGAATCATCTGTTGAACTGCATCCCAATCACCACAAATACAGCAGAAGACCAATTGGAACCTGCATGGACCTAAGATTCTCATGGAAATCAGTTTGGTAAAGGAAAAGTCATGGTTTGGGATAACATTCAGTTTGAGGGCATGCGAGAGATCTGCAGAGTGGATGGCAACATCAACAGCCTGAGGTATCAAGACATTTGTGCTGCCCATTACATTACAAACCACAGGAGAGGGCAAATTCTTCAGCAGGATAGCGCTCCTTCTCATACTTCAGCCTCCACATCAAAGTTCCTGAAAGCAAAGAAGGTCAAGGTGCTCCAGGATTGGCCAGCCCAGTCACCAAACATGAACATTATTATGCTTTCTGGGGTCAGATGAAGGAGGAGGCATTGAAGATCATGGGAGTCAGACAAGATATTAATTCTTTTTCCACTGCACCATGACTTTATATTCTAGACTGTACATTATTTCTGTCAAGTGACACGACTTTTGTCTAAGTAAAGTCAGACTTTCTGTCCTATTTAAATCATTGCAAATCAAGACATGATCATATTTTAGATTAGTAAAATAAGCATAATCTAGAGGCCTTTGCCTTTCATATTAGCCACTTCTGATACCAAATGATCAACTAGAAGTCAAGTTATTATTTGTTGTTCCTAAAACTTGGACAGGCGACAAGACTTTTGTCAGGTAGTGTAGACTTGTGAATGAAAGTCTTAGGAAATTGGAATGAAATGAGAAGGAGTAAATTAATTACAGAAATATAAATTTTGGGTGAATTACTCCTTTAACTTTAGTTCATGATAAAACATAATAAACAGCCGGCACAAACAACCTTATTGGTTCTTTTCATTGAGGAGAAAACCCATGTTGTGACAAGCCACTTCACAACATGGGAGGAAAAAAAGACTATTGCAACATCCATTTCATGCTAACTTTAAATATATGCTGGAACGAGCCTTCCAAACCACAATTATCCCAACATAAGGTGTGGTTCTGGCACTTGCAGAGGAAAGCTGAGCATTTCCCTTTCACTGGCATTAGATGCTGGACTGCCAGGCGTGACGCTGTAAAAACAACATTCTTCTATCTCAGACAGACACCTCTAGATGTAACAGTCTTGCAGCGGTGTGTGCTGTTTTTAATGTGTGCGTATGGGGATGGTGACATTTTGTGCAAGGATCCGAGCACACCCTCATTAGGGCTGACCATGGCATTGGCAAACAGCATTTGATGGATAGAGTGCAGGGCCAAACAAGTCCCTGTGGACCCCTGATCTTACCTCTCATTGCTCCAGACCTCCTTCCTCCTGACTGGCTCTTGAAACACACTCTCACCCAACACTTCTCACACTGGATGTATCAACATCAAGCGTATGTGTGTGTGAGAGTGAAAGTGTGGGCACAAAGCTGTGTTTTCGGTTAAATAATTCAGCTCCATTTCAACAGTATCAAGGCCCAGAAGGACCAGAACAAAAAAGCAAGCATGTGGAAGGCAGAAGGAAGGAGTGAAGGGAGCTTGTGGCGCTGCGGACGGCTGTAATAAACCTATGCCCGTGTCATTTCTCAGTGGACACACAGAGCCATAGATGAATGTATTCTCTCTTTCCTTCACTGTTTCTTACACATTCCTGCACCTCTCTCACTTTCCTTTTGCATCACCCAAATCACTTTTTTTAAACTGATCAAAACAGCCTGCCTCATATTCCCACTCAAAAATGTCCTGAGAGAGGGTCCTGCTCATAGACGTATTTATACATCGACGAGAGTGAGAATGATAGGAAAAGTGAAGAGGACACATTATAAATATGATGAAATATTCATTTGAGAGATATAATACTTACCCAAGAGTCCTATATGACTTGCTGAAAGGTTGACAAGTGAGTTATTGCCATATTAGGGTTTATGTAGCCTAACATCAATACACTGAAAGTTGAATGTTACATTTTAAAAGTAAATTTAGCCATGGATAAATTGTAGACAATATGTGTCTTGTCTGCTAGGTCATATATTGCAGAGGGAATATCATTATTCTTTTCCCCAAAATAATTTCAAAAGACCCCAAATAATTATATAAAAAAATTATATTATTATTTATATTATATTTTATTTTATATTATATTTTTTTCTTCTTCCTATTATTATTATTATTATTATTATTATTATTATTAATATTATTAACAATTACAAAAATATTTATATTTTATTATTATATATTTTATATAAAAAATTATTAGTATATTTTTATTTTATAATATTTATAAGTATTACTATTATTTTTATATAATTTTTTTTCAATTATTATTATTATTAATAACAATTATAAAAATATTTTTTATTATATTATTATATATTTTATAGTCAAATTTTTATTATTATTACATTTTAATTTCATATTATTTATAATTATAACTATTATGTTATTTTTATTATAATTAATAATAAGAATAAAACCACTAATAATAATAATATTTATCATTATTGCTTTTATTATTATTATTCAAAAACTATAAGATTATTACTATTATTGGTATTATTATTGTTATTATTATTATAAAAAATTGTAGATTATTATATATTGTATATTCAAATTTTTTGTTATTATATTTTTGTTTATTTTTGTTATTTATAATGATAACTATTATATTATAATGATGATGATTATTATTATTAATAATAATAATAATAATAATGACTATTATTATTGTTGTTTATTTTATTAATATTTTATTAAAACAACTATAAGATTATTACTGTTGTTATTATTATTAATAACAATTATTTTAAAAAATATTATATTGTTATATATTTTATATAAAAAATTTATATTATTGCTATAGTTTATATTATTTATGATTATAACAATAATATTATTATTATACCTCTCATGATTGTTTTATTATTAATATCGTTGTTATTATTATTATTAACAAAAAGTAAGATTAATTATTACATAAATACAATTCTTTATATATATATATATATATATATATATATATATATATATATATATATATATATATATATATATATATATATATATATAATGATTTGTCATTTTTCCTATGCTCTTGAATATGAACAAACTATTTTGGTTTTAAAAGATAACACTTTCTGGCTGACAAATATTTATTTTTCTGCAGTATCAAGTGTTGAACGTTCAGCTGTGTTTGGGAGTGTATATAAGGGTGGAAGACGTAAACAGAGAAAGAAACCAAGACTGGGGCTTGAGAAAGTAAATTTCATTAAAGTAACAGATTGCTAAACAGATGACAATTTTTTTTTTTATTATGCTTTTAAATAACGTCGTAATAACGTCAAAAAGGTCTGGTAATAGTTTCAATTAAAAACCATGTACATCATTGCATTTACAAAAAAATTATTGTCTGCATCTGATTACTATCAGCAAAAGCAAATGCACTGAACACACAGTTTAGAGCAAGCCCAAACTCACCTGTTAGAGACGAAGAATGAATCGTCAGGTGATAAGCGTGGTGGTGCAGACCTGCGAAAGCCCTCTCTGGTCAGCGGTTTGCGGCGTATGTCATGAGTAGCGCGGTACTGGTGAAGCTCTTTAGCAGTAACCAAGCCTGACTTTACCCCTTCTCTGTTGAGGGCAATAAAATCCCTCTCAGCTGCTCGGTGTGTGGTAGACATAGTGTGAGTGTGCCAGTTGGAGATGGCTGAAAAAGACACATCAAGAGATATAATAAAATACTAATAATACACAGAATTTCGTTGATGAGAAGGATTACTGCACAGTCTTTTATTAGTAGTGTTTTGGTTTTGTTTAATACATTTTTATTTTAGATAGATTTTTATGAGTCTAACAAAAAAAAATTAGATCACAGTCCAAAAATTTGTACACCCAAATTAATATGTTGGTGGAAAATATTAAATAACATTTTACTAAACAGGAAGGATCAAGGGATGCATACAAATATAAAATTTGGTTGAAATTTTGTAGTTTGTAATTTTTTTGTTTCAATACCTCATTTGAGCATACTACGTCCATAACTTTTACAGTCAATGGTTTTGCTTTAACACCCCTCTGCCAGTGAGAGTAGATGAGCTCAAGCGTATCAAACGAGAAGCTTCTTGAAGGGGGCGGGGCATGCCAGATACTAGAGAGCATTTCATTGGTCATGATTTGATGAGAAAATGAAGTATGAGATGATGTGAAAAAAAATTGTTGCTCCATTTAGGCGGAAGTGTCAAACTACAAGCTTTACATGTTCTTATATTTTCTAAATGCAAATTTTGTCACTGTTTTGAAGCATGTGTGCTAATAGATAACTCAACGTCCATCTAAAATACTTTATTTTTATTACATTGATATTGACATTTTAAATAAATGACTTCCTCTTCTTCTGAACACTTAATGTTAGCAGTATTCCAAATTTCCGATACAGCCATAGACGGATCAGCAAGCCATTCAAGGCAGAGGCAACAGCTTTTAATGGCTTTGTTGACTGGCAGCGCTAAATAGCAGTAGGCACAGGCTTTCGGCGGGGTTCTTGTTGACATGTTCAAAAACTGAGCAGAGATCAGTTTCCTGCAATAATACTTCCATTAGGATTTGTGATGACTAAGCTTAGATAAGCATGACAGGGTAAACTCGGCCTACAACTGCATCCAGAGTTCATGGGACTGCATAAGGGCTTGACACTTGCAGTCACAGCCTGTCGTCCGTTTTGGAAAAGCATAATTAAAGAGTGAGACAGGAGCCGGTGCCGAAGCCAGGCGCAGTTTAGCATGCTAACAGGAGCACACTGACAGAGCGCCTGAGGGGACACTTACTGAAGAAAACACACTGTGACATCATCTTGTGACAGGGCTTGATGGGGAGTGGGTGTGGTGTCTCATAAACAAAAGGCTTTGAGTTTGAGTGGAGACTGAGATTTATAATGATCTGGTAATGATGCTTTCGATGTATAGCCCAGTTTTTAAGGCAAATCTAGTACTGCTCTTGTGTCACTTTTACATAGTTGTTTTGACACTTACCTTCTTGTACTCCTCCATCCTGTACTGTGGTCGCTGTCCCGAAAACAAACTCAGGTCCTGGATAGGACAATCCTCTCGACTTTGACTTTCCAAGAGTTGGCTGTATATAAAACACATAGTGCTGAGATGAAGCACTCTTTACTTATGATATGATCAATAGTCATGATAACATATGTTTATAGCCCATACCGTTCAACATTGGGATGTGAAAATTAGAGATGAATATTCGATTACTTTCCTAACTGTTTATGCTCATTTAAGGCAAAATTAGTAGTGTTCAAAAGAAAACCCACCAAGATTGACGTTTAGATGTTATTATTGTTATTAATATGATTATTATGTATGTTCGAACACGCACATAAAACCCAGAGTGTCCACTTTTGCTCCTCTTCAAATCGCATGTTCAAAGTCTGTTTGGGCATCTATTTATCACTATGGAGCGCATCTGACAGTCACGTACATATTCGTGAACTGGCTGTTTTGAGAGTTGCATAAAAGGGGCGACGGCGCCTGAAATGAAAAGGAAGGGAATCCCGCTGGTTTTATATTTATTTCAAAATGTTTTATCCCTAAATAAAATGAAAGCACAGAACAGAATAACACTTAAGAGCAAGTGGTGTCCCCTGGTGGCTCGGCGGTATGGTTGTGTAGGATCGGCTCTTAAATGTTTATTGCCACCCTTCATAGAAAGATTTAAAATATGGAAGAAATAGGGGAAAATACCTTCACTGGGATTATAGGGAGATAGAATTGTAAAATACATGAGAATCCCAGGAAAAACGGGAGGGTTGACAGGTATGTTGTAATCTGTGTGAACTGCAAGTTGCAGAGACACCAATTTCAGTATGTTGATGTACTTCCAACTGAAACGGAATATTGGCTAGGGGGCGTGGTTTTCTTTTTACACATCATTCCTTCATAGCAAACTAACGGTAAAGGGGGGCGGGGTTAAGAATATTTTGGCTGAAGCTGTCAAATTGATGTCAACTTAGAAACGCAGAAGCAAATAGTTTCCAAAAAAGTACAATTATTACCAAAACAAACAGTTTTCTCAGTGGTGGAAATTCTTGCACAGATTAATTGAACATTAAACAATGTGCACTAGCAAAATAAACATTGTAAATTCTGATTCCACACAGACCTAAGTACTTTTACTTACTGATGTAACATTTTTTAAAAATTGATTTGTTGTGTATATAAGTCAGTTTAATGTAATGGAGGTGTAAATGGCTTGTAAAGTTGAATTGATTTAACTTGATTCAGCTACTCATTTTCAGTTTACAGCTATGAAGTCACTTTTTCAGCAGAATTTGGTTCTGGAAGTGTTTTCCCATTCAGTCTTTTCACAGTGATTTAAAAGTAAAGTCTTTGTTAAAGCATTATAAACCATGAACCGAACCAATCAATTCACCAAGGAGAATTGAAGCCTAACAAACTATTTTTTAAATCACAGAAATGTATGAAAATCGGACAAAAAGACACAAAACTGTATACTTTAATGACTAGAATTAATAATCTAATGAAAGTATTTAAAAGTATAACAATTCCAGAAAGGAAATTAAAATGAAATAATAAAAAATTAAGCAATGTTCAATATAATATTAAAACTGTTTGTTTAAAGGTGTTAGTTCTTTTTGTAGAAACATTTCTAGAATCTGCACGTATACACATATTTAAGTATTTTAAGAGGCTGATTTCATTGTGAGCACTTTGCTGATGGAAGTTTGTGGAAATTATGTACAGCAATATGTGAATGTATTTTCCTGCAGAAATTCTGGTATTAAACACAAAAGTAGAATTAATGTGAACAGATGAGTTCCACAAATAATTTACAATCAATTTACTACCTCAGAATTCATAGTTTGTCTTTAAAGGATGAACAGTTATTGTTTAAAACGAATTTCCCTATGGAGAAAATTAGTTGACTTTTTGAACCTGTTGCAGTCGATCACAAAAATATAAACCTCATTTAATTTATAATAATAAATTAATTTATAATTAAAAAAGCTTTTCCTTGAGGCCATCTATGAACAGTTAAAATCCCCACATCTATCCTATCTCAATATATGAACATTTGCTTTTCATGAGAATGATGTACATACATTTTGTTTTACTTTTGTGGTCCAGTTGTATGTTGTTTAACTGTATTATCTTTTATTTATTTATTTGTCCATGTACTGGAGATTTTATCAAGAGCATAAATAAATATGTCATAAATATCACCCCTAAACTAATACTTACTTCCAGAACTGTTTATCGCCCCCAACCTGGAGAACCAGGACATACACATACATACTCTAGACAGTTTAGCTTACCCAATTCACCTATAGGGCATGACTTGTGGGAGAACCGGAGGAAACCCACACAAACATAGGTAAAACATGTAAACTTGACACAGAAATGCCAACTGACCCAGCCAGGACTCGAACTAGCGATCTTCTTGCTGTGTGGCGACAGCACTACCCACTGCGCCACCCCACTCAAACTCATACTAAATGTAAATTAATTAGTTAATTTTTAAATACATTTTAACAATTCCATTTTCTATGGAATCTATGCCAGGGGCAGCTTTTGTGTATATTTTCTGACAGCCAACAGTCGATCTGTTTTTTTTTCTGTGAACCTCTAAACTGTCAATCAAACTGTCAATCAGTCTCAATTACATCACCACAATAAAGGCGCTGTTAAACCGAAGCATTTAACGCCGCGAGACAAAGCGCCCATCACAAAGTCAAAGTTTTATGGACCTCTCGAGTGGCAGCTGATTTCTTGATTGACAGGCAGTTTTCGACCCACACCTTCAAATTGGAACACACCAAAGCATCTGATTGTATCTAATAATAAAATCATAATTATGCACAAGCTTATTAGCATAAAACATGCCACAAAAGACATCCAAATGACTGCAGTATCTGGCAGCTCAATAAGAATCGAATTCCCATTGAACGTTGATGCGAGTGATCTTGTAGGCTGATTTCTTCAGTCAGGACTCGCTAGCACTATGTAGTCCAGTTAGTTCACGCAGAGTATGATATACGTCTCCAGAGTCATAACTGTAAGATGATTGACAGCTGAAGAGTTGAAAAAGGCAACACTTATCCTATCCTTGTATGAATGTGTGTGTGTATTTACCCCCATCATCATCAACTCAGAGACGATCTCTCATGGGGGCAAAAGAAAAGCCCACTATTTTTCTGTGCTAAACAGCTCAAAGCCTTGTTTTAAGAGCAGCTTAGCTTGGAAAATGGCGTAAAATTGAGAATCAAACCACGGCAAAGGTGACAACCGGATGTATCAAAAGTGATCTGTGGAATATGGTGCCTGAGCGCTCCACAAGCATGTATCTTTGATCTGTGATGGAACATGAGGGAGGTGTGCTCATGTGTCACTCACAGAGTTACATTCATGTCGGCGCTTCCCCTCACGCTGCCGTATGTGATTTTTTTGGAAGGAGAAAAGACTCGGCGTGGTGAGTCTGTCATCATCTCTGGAGATCGCTGTTGTGTTTGCCGTGATCTAAAGACTTAATTCTTGGTTAAAAACCCTCAATCCTTCATTATTCTGGGCTTTGAATAGTCTACATTGAAAAATGGATTTGAAAGATATTTGTCACTGGACCCCCACCAATCACGCCGGGCAAGTAAAGCTCTCAGAAATGCGAATGGCACTGCCAAACGCTGCTGTTTTTCAAGGCGAATGCCTAAGTACGGCCAAATTGAGATAACCTAAATCTTCCTTGGCCTTTCTAACTCGCAGACACCCAACCTCTAGTTAACATATCTGCTGAAACATATCAAAGCGCCAAGCTTTTGAGTAAGTGCCACCAGGCTTCTCGGCCAGCCCTTTAATCCCCTTCGCAATTTTAATCTGCAGATTGTTTTGAGGAGATCACTTAGAGACGCCTGAAGGAACGTGTTAACCGCTGGCGTAAAACGGCTAATCAGACCCCTCAAAACATTATTGGGCCTTTCATTCGCAATGAAAGAGCTGAAAGAGAAGGGGACAACAGAAAAGGCAAGTCGGGCGAAGGATTATGTTAAGCAAAAGCTCCTTTTAAATTGTCATTTACTGGTGATCTGTCTCTATATTGTGTTTTCATTAACCAGGCACGGACCCGCTGAATGAAGCAGAGGCCAGCATGAGAATAGTGCCGCTTCAGGAGAGGCTAGAGCAGGGTCAGCAGGAGCAGATTATTCGCACAGGCTAAAAGAGCACATAATCATCTCTCGCTAAGGAGAGCCATTCAGACCCCCGTGCTTTAATTTTCACCGTCCTTTTGTGCCTCTCTTGCTCGTGTGTGCTTTTAGGATTTGCCCTGAGCTGCCGAGATTAGCTTCTAGCGCTGACCCTGAGAGTCTATCGCCGCACTGTTCGGTCCTGTCACCGCTTCTGTTTGAACACTTGCACAAGTTTCTCTTTCTCAGATGTTGTCTCTCTAAGCGAACACCATGTGGTATTTGTCTTTTTTTTCTGCCCAAATCTCACCCAGACATCATTCCCGACAGATAGATTTGCACACATTTCAGAGAAGAAGCTTCTGGATGAAACTGCTCCGCACCTCCTGTCCAAGACCTACTAGGTTTCCCTGCGGAACTGGTTTAATCTTGTCAGGCAGCGGCATGGAGAGTTATGAGCCAGGCATGATCAACTCATCTTTTCGGCGCTGACAGACAGCTTCGCCACGAGTTCCTCCGTCAGACTTACAAATAAAAGTGGCCATGATGATGATTAGAGGATAACGGCGGTAATGCGTGCCGAACTGTCTCCACTAATTATTATCGAACTCCTCCAGCTCGGTTCAGCGCCATCTGGTGCCTGATTACAGGACAGCAGGCACACTGGCTTACGATTAATCTCTTCATCTCAACTAAGCTAAATAGAGGGAACGAATGGCGGAGAGAACGTGAAAGTTGGAGGAAAGAATCTGTATCTTTGTCGCAGCGTGATCCGTTACAATTCACAAAAAGAGAATTCATATTCTGTTCTAAAGACACCGAGAAGGTCTATAATCTAATAATTTTCCGCCTTGAGAATTTGTTGACAATTTGGCAAATATCTAAGCCAGCTCCAAAAAAAACAAACATTTATTAGTAAGAACTG